CTGAAGAGGTGTGGGCCGCGGAGAAGGAGGGGGCAGCCCCTCCAACCCCCGGGCTTTGCTCCCTGCCCACTGCCCATCATACAGTGGATAGGAAGGGGAACCAGTTCCGTGGCTCTTGACCCCATCACCCATTTTGAGACCATAAAAAGGAGAGACAAGGAGAGGAAGGTGGGGAGAGTGATCAGGAGATTATCTGTGGTTGGGGGAAAAAGGGAGACAACTGTAATCAAATAACACAAAAAATTAAAAAAAAAGATTCTCTGTGGAGAGAGCACTGTCATGCTGAACCCACCCCTCTACCCAAAGGGGTGGGGAAGGGCTCCCTCCCAGGCCCACAGCCAGTGTGGGAACCCCGGGGGTCCTGAACTATGTTTCCTGGAGGTGACACTCAGGGAGAGCTGACTCCAGCCTTAGAAAAGCTAAGGCAGAGAGACTGCAGACTCAGGTCGCCTTCCGGCCTGGTGTCTGGAGCGAGGCGGAGGCAGGGAGGGGGTGAGGGTGCAGGGGCCAGAGAACAGCTGCCATATTGGAGAGGGCTGTCAGGGCAGGTGATGGGCGAGAGCCTGGAGCTGGCCACGCGGGACAGAGAGCAGGACTGGGCTCCACCTGGGCCCTGCCCAAAGGCCCTCCTGGAGGGTGAGGCCCTTCAGTGGACAGAGGCTGCAGACAGACTGCTGGACACCCAGGGGCTGCACGGGGCCTGGTGGGTCAGCCCCAGAGACCCGTCTGTCCTGAGTCACGGGAATTGCTGCAAGGGACAGGTCCTGCGGAAAAAAAGTTCTGCAGTCTGTGCTTGGGACCTAAAGGGACTCTTGGAGCTGTCAGCTACCTAACGGTGAGCAGAAAATTCTTGCTGGAATTTCTATCCGGGGGCTGGGGAATATCATGGCCACTCAGCACAGGCACGGCGGTGCAGCACACATAGAAAAGCGTTTGAATACATCACAAATGGTATTTGCTCAATACATGAGATACATTTCGTGTCTCTCAAGGATCAGCAATGATAGGAAGTTAGCAAAAGAAGGTTCTCAGAGGAATCCCATACACATTTCATTTCAATGGCCGAGTTTCAGCAATCATTCATGTGCACCGCTTCCGTCTGTAAACCCTGAAGACTGGGCCTTCTTCTTGCCAGACCCATCATGCCAGGGGACCCCCACCGTGTCCTGCTGCAGGTCTGGGACGCCCTGACTCTGTCCCACCTTCAGGTCTCCTTCCAGCACCCAGCCCCTCCCCCCTCCATCCCTTCCCTTTGCGTCTCCTCAGCACCTTTCTCTAGCTCCTCTCTGGAATCTCCAGCACCCAGGGCTGTTCGGTCAGCTGTGTGTTCCTTTGATCCTAAGGACCTTTCCCCCCTGCTGAAGCAAAGCCAACACCCACAGCAGCCCGGGGCTGGGGAATCGGAGGGCAGAGTGAGCTTTTGGTGCCATCAGGCAGGCAGGTAGCGACAGGTGAGTGACATCTGGGCATCAGTACAAATGACGCCGTGCGCCGTGTGGCTTGGGGCTGCCGTGTGAGGTTACAGAAGGTGGAACGTCACAAACGTTGCAGATGGGTATGAAGAATGTCTTTCTCTCAAATGTCAGACTCACTACAAGCCTGGATTTCCTTTGCTGTGTGCATGCCTTTCCGGGGAGCAGAAGATGATCCTAATTTCATGCCAAGTTTTCCCATCTTCACTCCAAAGACAATCTGTTCCACACTCTCCCCCTCCTCCTCCCCCCTCCTCCCCGAGTGCTGAGATGCTTTTACATGGGCTTGACCGACACACACCAATAGTCTCTGCCAGGAAAGAAAGAACAGGATGAATGAGAGCTCAAGTGGGAGCTAGGCACATTTTTGATCTTTCAGAGGTTTAGAGAAATGGAGGCAAAGAACACACACAAATGAAACGAGAAGGGAGTGAGCGGCTGTGTTCATTTTCTCTACTAGTTCACCTTTGAGCACCGAGTACGTAAGTTCGGGGCTCGGGGCCAATGACCCCTCGGAGCTCCAGCTCTACCCGCCCCCACCTTGTGGCCTTGGACCAGAATAAATCTCTCTGTGCCTCCGTTTCTGCATCAGTAACTCTTATCCATGAGGATAAGAATAATATTGACCAAAGAGTTCTCGTGATTTAATACAGTAAATAGCTTTAAAGGGTGCCTGGTGCATAGTTCATGTTGCACATTTGTTAGCTACTGTAATTTCCTCATTTTCTAGTCATTTCTTTGGTCTGTGGAAATGTGAGGTGGGAAAAGATAATGTGGAGAAAAATCAGGTCCCCCCTCCAGTGGGTTATTTATTTGTGATTTGTAGCACTATTGTACCTCGACTACACTGATTTCTTCAGGCACCTTTGTTTTAGATAGCATTAGAGAGCTGGTTACAACAATATTGATGAAAAGTTGACTTTTTTCACCCATTTATCCATGCGCCTATGATTGTTCATTGATCGACCCTTTATCCGAGCTAGGGTGCAAGGCAATTCACAGACCTGTAGAGAGCGGAGACTCTTCCCCTGAAGGCATCTACAGTCATTTGGTTAATGGTCTAAACCGCTGACACGTAATCAGAACGATTATGTTTGGACTAGGCTGTTAAATCCCCATAGATAAAACAAATCACCGATAAATGGCCCAGAAAAAGATACATTGTGAAAAAATTCGGTTGCTGCAGGACCGGTGTTTCTGGCGGTCTGCATGTACGCGGCCCGTCTTCCGACCACGGATGCGATCGCATCCCCGTTGTCTCTGGGACCCCCAGCTCCTTCCTTTGAAACTACCTGGCGTTTTCCCCTCTGCTGTGACCAGGGGCAGCCAAACGCTGGCAGCCCATCCTAGGCAAACCCAGCCTGCGGATCACACATCACACGGACACCGACCGTGCTGTTCCACGTCATCTCTGGGCGTCTTTCAACCCACACGCGGTGCCTTTTCGTTTGCTGTCTGGGCTCTACGGAGCTGTCTGAAGTATGCAGTCACTTTTCAAAAATAAGGGATCGAACGGAAGACCCGTTTTCTCCTGCATGTTAAAAAATCAGTGCGTTGCAAGGAAAATAATGCCTCTTTGACTTGGTCCTTCTCATGGGCTCAGAGAAGGCTCATGCCTTCAGGGGCTGTGAACCGCCAGCAAACTTTACCAGGCTTCCAGCGTCCTCCACACCGGCCACTAGTGGTGTTACAGCTGGTGGCGATGGAAGACCTCCAATGCCTGGAAGTGCTACGGGACAATCTTGTCCTCCGAAAAGAGAACTTACTCTTTGATCTGAATCAGCCGCTTACTCTTCTGGACCACAGTTTTCCCATGGTAAGAGCAAGAAGTTCACCACAGTAAAAATGAAATGACCTTCCAGGTTCTTCCATCCCCGAACGACTGGGATTCTGAGTCTGCGACCTCCCACGTGGAGCCACGAGCCACGTGGAGCCACGAGCCACGTGGAGCCACGAGCCACGTGTGGCTCCCAGCACTCGCCACGTGGCTAGTGCCACTGAGATGTGCTGTACGTGTGAGCTACTCACCACATTTTGAGTTAGTACAGAAACACTCACCACATTTTGAGTTAGTACAGAAAATGTAAAATATTTTGGATATATCAGGTTCAAAATATTATCAGAATGAACGTCACCCATTTTTTAGTGTGGCCATAGAAAACTTAACACTGCTTTTATGGCTCGCATTATTAACATTGGACGGCCCCACTCTGAATCCTTCAAAATAAAGGGATCGAAACCCATCTTTAAGGACTTTAATGCTAAATGGTCAGCGTTTCAACATTGTGGTCCTTATGCCTCTAAAAGTCAAGTTAAAGTACTTACCCGCCCCAAACTAATACACCTTCGGGGGCAGATATCTGTCACCAAGTTCTTCTTCGTTGTGCTCTTTGCCCAGGTCCCGAGAGAGCCCCGTGGTCACAGCCCTCCACGGTCCGCCCCTCCGGCATTCGTATCATGACCGATGATCAGGTAATGATCCACCCAAAGGTTGAGAGCGATTGTTTCTGGGAAAGGGGGTACTGAGTGCTCTTTGAATTTTTAGAATTCTTTCTTTCATCTCTCAATCTTCTAGCAGTGAGGACCATTATGTTCTCTTCTCTCATTAGAAAAATGCATCTCTCTACATTTCTGCACGAATGATTTTATAAATTGTCTAAGCATTACAACTATGTTTTTAAAAAGGCCACCTTAAAAGGAAATGCCCCAAAATGCTTTCATCAGCTTTTCTATAGTGAACCAGTTATTTCTACAAAAGACACCTCCTTATTTCAAAATTGCAATATCCACCCACCCTTTTAACCTGCAACCTATGTCAATTTGCAGGTTGATTTTCATAGAACTCCTGAGGCTGTTATCTCTACTGTATTAGGCCGAGGAGTAAATGCTCCAGGTTTTTGCTTCAATCTTACAGTGATAACAGCTACTTTAATATTTTTGTAACTAACATCAAGCATAACGGTGTTGAGTTAGAGCCCACGCAGGAGACGGGGAGGAAGCCCCAAAGGTGTTCTGCTATGCCACGTGTGCGGGGTGCGGTTGTGCTGGGAAAATGCCCATCGGAATGGGGTGCCACTTACACCTGGGTTCTGCTGCCACAGGGCAGAGCCCCTCCTGCAGGCAGCCCAGACCAGCACACTCAGGAGTGCACACACACATGCACACACGTACACACGCACACACACAGGGGGAGGGGTGCTGTGCCCCACCCCAGCCCCAGTGAGCACCCCCTTGCAGCTGCTTCTCTCATCTGCTCTCCATTCTCGAGGCCAGACCCACCGCCCTACCTGCTCCAGGTAGCACAAGGTGTGTGCAGAGCTGGTGTCTGTGTGTGGACAGGCAGGGCAGAAGCAGGTGTGCTGTCTGCCCCGCTGGCTCTGGAAAGAGCTGGGCTTCTAAAGGCCTAACAGGTGTAATTGTTTAACCTGGCAATTTTTTTTTGTATTCTTCAGGAAATGAGTCTTTTTCCAACTCCCACAAGGCAACAAACAGCCCTTCTGAATGGGGCACGACTGAGCGCAGACTTACTGTTGGTAGAAAAGATGACTTCTCCCTCCTGCGGGGCGGGGTCTGTGTCCTGGACCACCTGCAGGGCTCCCACTGTCCGGACGGCAGGGTCCAAAGTGACCGAGCTTTCGTTCACGGTCGTGTCGCTTGCGCCTGTGATCTGGTTGGTGGGGGGGCCTCCCAGCGATCCCTCAAAGTCGGTGGGCAGGTCATCCATGCAGTCGGCGTTGGGCTGGCGGGGCAGAAAAGGGTCTGTTCTCAGTGGGTGTCACGAGGTTAGGGCGGAGTGTCTACAGCCTAAACACTCTGTCTGATGGAAACCCACGTTCTTTACTGCTTTCTTCCTGACGCATTTCATTATAAACATTCCCCATAAAGCTCTGTAATGAACATAAAAATGGCTTCCAAAACTTCCTTTCCAAAGGCTCCATGTAGATGTAGATAGAAGGTTTTAATTCCAGGAGTAGCAACATCCATACGGCCATGCAATTACTGGGAGTAATAACACGATATTTATTTATAATGACAGCCCTTCCTTATACAGAGGGTTTATTCCTTGCCTAGGAAGTAAGTAGCTCACAGCCTGATAATGACCCCTAGTGACCCGCAGTGACCCTCAGTGACCCGTGAATTATTTCAAATACACCGATGACATGAGAGGGGGACAGAGTCTGACTCACTGTGAATTGCTCATCAGATACACACACACAAACACACACGTAAAGCACAGGGCGAGGCTAGTTTTTTGAGGTTGTTGTTAAATGTGAGCCAAAGACCAGCTATTAAAAAAAAAGCCCTATTTTCTTAACAGGCCCATGATCAGACATTTGTCAAATCCTCTGCGTAGAAATCTCAGAATCCTAGCACTGGGGTGCGACCATCGCGTGGAACTGCCCACTGACTGCAGGACTCTTCCCCCCGCCCCGCCCCGTCCCCCAACATCCACTTGAACGTAGAAATGGGAGCTCTCTGCTCTGTAAGGCAGCCTGTGTTGCTCAGTTTCATTAGACGGCTCCGTCACTGGGCAATGTGGCAAGTGTTACTCGTTGGCCTTAGTTCTGCTGTTTGAAGTGACATTGAATATATTTAAACTTCTGCATAAGCAACTTTTTAAATGACTTTCAGTTGTCATACCTCTAACCGAAACTCATAAAAGAGGTGGTATGGGAGAGAGACCGGTTTGAAAAATACTACAGATAGCTATTAATTAATTATTGCTACTTTTGGCTCTGGTGTGAACATCAGCATCGCCTGGAACAACAGTGAAATGGTTTTGCACTCCCGATGGAGAAAGACCAGGGTGGGCAGGAGGTGGGAGTCCTCTGGGCCGACACTGGCGATGTTGCGGTAAAGGCTCATGGAGAGAGCAACTCTGCGGCTCCCAGACTCACCGGGAGCACAAAGCAAGATGTTCCAGCCGCTGCACTCTGGTCTTTGTTTTCTGCTCTTGACCCAGCCTCCCGAGCCCCTCACCGGTGTTTCCGATGGTCAGCTGGGAAGCACCATCACCCCACTGAAAGCTCAAGTTCAGCTCGTTCCCTTTTTTTTTTTCCCCTGTATTCTCTTTTTGTTTTGCTTTTTTGTCCCTATTGGAAGTGAGTCACTTCACTGAAACTCAGGTTGTCGAAAGTTGATTCACTGAGTGACCGATCCGCCACATTTACTGACTGCGATGTTGGCTGTGAGCAGGTCCATAATGAACATCTCTCCTCCCCTTGAGGGGGTCCCGATCTCCCCGTCGTTTCCTCCCCAGTGGAGCCCACTCTGCACTTCTCTGGCCCCGCCTGCGGGCTGTGGGGACACACCCACCGCCACACACTCCCCGTCTCAGAGCTTTAGCTCCTGCCGTTCTCCTACTCAGGGCAGCGCCTGCCCTAGGCACCCACTGTCAGGTCTCACCCCAGCCCTCCTGCTGAGCCCCTGCTCACCCCTCTCCTGTCGCCCTGTCTACGTGGTGTCGTCGCCCAGGTAGTCATCCTCAGCACCGTAACACCTGACTCACACTTCCCCCACGCTCTTAGGGTCATTGGTCACTGCACGTGTCTCACTCCACTGGTCTGCACTCTAAAGAGAATGCTGGTTTTATTGAGATATAATTAACATGTGATATTATATTGGCTCAAGATGTACCACGTGATGATTTGATGTACACATGTATCACCAAATGCTCACCACAACGAGTCTGGTCAACACCCATCACCTCACGTGGTTACACTTTGTTCTAGTGATGAGAACTTTTTCACATGCACGAAACAGTATTATTAACGAGTCGCCATGGTGCACATTATATTTCCAGAACATAGTTATCTTATCATTTGATGTTGGTACCTTTTGACACCTTCACACATTTTGCCCACCCCCCCACCCCCTGCCTCTGGCAACCACCTGTCTGTTCTCTGTCTCTGTGAGCTCAGGTTTTTAGATGGCACGTGTACGTGAGACACGGCTTTTTAAAGTGACTCGACTGCACAGTACCTTACATTGCTCCTGAATTCCAAGACTCCACATAGTGCCTGACAACTATTAAGTGGTCGGTGAACACTGATTTGAACATTTTATCTGAGTCTCAGGTTACTTCTCCGAAGACTTGAGGACATAAGACTCTGGTCTAGACTAAGGGAGGATGTGAGAAAATACTTCAAAAACTGGCAAGTTCCGTGCCAAGGTGAGGCACATTATTGATGGGGAGCAGAATAAGCCACCACAAAATTTGCTGCGTTGGTATAAGGATTATTTTGAGTTGAAACAATTGAGAAGTAGATAAAGACATGCCCTTTGCCCTCCCCACTATGGGCTTACAAGCAGTACATGAGTTTGCAAAGGTGCGCCCCTCTCGGCACTGGGAAGAGAAGAGCATTCTCGTCATCAGTGACTGGGAACCCACTCTGAAATCCGCACAGACAGACCTGACTAATATGACCTTCTCTGACATTAGTTTCCTCCACGTATTTACCTCCACGCTGTTCTAGAAACTCAAAGTCTTTTTCTTTTTTTTTTATTACTTCTTAAAAACCCTAACACTCTTTTTTTTAATAGCTTTAAAAATTTTTTTTTAAAGATTTTAAAAATTTATCTATTTTTAGAGAGGGAAGCGGGGGAGAAAGAGAGAGAAAGAGAGAAACATCAATGTGTGGTTGCTGGGGGCCGTGGCCTGCAACCCAGGCATGTGCCCTGACTGGGAATCGAACCTGTGATGCTTTGGTTTGAAGCCCACGCTCAATCCACTGAGCTACCCCAGCCAGGACTATCACTCTGTTTTGAAGACCTAAGCTCAAGTTCTAACCACCCCTTTGAGTTCCTCGTCCCTCAGTGTTCCCGTGTGTGTGCATGATGCACGTGATAATAAACTTTGGTTTGATTTTCTCTTGTTAATCTTTTATGAGTCTAATGTATAGGGCTCCGGCTGGAGAAGCTAGGTGGAAAAATAACTTTCCCCCCTCCTTACACTACGTAAAGATGCTTCTAAGCCAAACCCATTGTGTGGGCCCTCAGGGCGGGAGAGGGTTCCCAGTGGGATCCGGTGGGCTGCTCCTTCAGCCACACACATCTGAATGCCATCGTGTACATGACAACTGATGTGCACTTCAAGTGTTGTTTGCTTCTTTATATTGTTCCTTCATGTAAAAACTTTTTTTATTAATTCTAATGCAGGATATTTGCCTTTGCTTTGAGGACTACCAGGCACAGTATTGCATCTCTAACAAGGCAGGGGGAGGAAAGAGAAAGAGAATTAGCTCAATGAGACTGTTAGCAGACCTAAGTAATTTGCGTTAGATATCATATTGAATGCACCGGCCTTGCTGCATCTCACAGTTTATACCCACTCTAAACAGTTTGCCACGTAGCATATTTAAAAAGAAACCCAGTGTATAGCCCTCTAAGAGAAAGTATGGTCATAATGTTTTTTTTTTTAGTCAAAGATGTTAAATACCATCTGTATGGGGACAAGGTACAGCTATTCAAACTCAGGTCAGCACGTGGAAATTCCTCAAGTGACCCGACTGCCCAGTGGTTAGGGATGTGCGAGGGCGCCAGCTCCACGGGCCTCCCTGTTCAGTCATCCTGCGCACGCCCGGTGACAGCGAGGGCAGGAGGGGTTTGCCGGGATAGAGGAACCCAGGTGGGTTGGTACCTGATAGGCATGTCCACCAAACCCTGTGCTCTGCCCCCTCCCAAAGCCACAGCTGGACCTGACTGGGGGCAGAGGAGGGTGAGGCCGAAGGATGCAGACAAAGAGATGAAAACACTTCCGATGAGAAAGGGCCCCCTCCCCCTCCCCCTCCAGGTCAGTATTTTATTTCTCCTGGCAGAACATAATGACCATAGAATGAAAAGAGTTACCCACTGTAATGGGAACTTCGTGAGCCCCGAGCTGTGCTTTCATTCTCGTGTTCGTTTTGGAGAAGCCCCCTTACCAAATGAAAACGTTTCCAGCTCTTAGATCTCAACTTAAAGTTGTTTCCCTTACAGCACAGGCAGCCACAGGGACGTTCAGTTAACAACAACAACAACGCAAACAAACAGAAAGCCCTTGCCACCTGTGTCTGGACTATCTGGCAGATCAGGATGACAACCCAGTCACTGGGGAGTGGACCTCGTGCACAGGAGGACAGGGGCGAGTTTCATAAACACGGTTCTGTGACCAGCAGCTTCCGACAGTGATGGGCTCCAATGTCACGGGCATTCACTGGGCACTGAGCACAAGTAAGGCCTCAGAGATGAAGGAGCAACAGGCACCTCGTAGCAGAGAAAGTGACAGGCTCTTTTCCACGCTCCTTGAGGAAAAGGAACTGCAGTGCAGGAGCTCAGGAAGCCTGTTAGAACAATTCTCCGAGCTCCATAAAAAAGGTTTCGGTTAGCTCCAGTATGTGTTTTCTAGGTGAGGAGGCTGTGAGCTTGTCCAATTACACGGAAAATGCTATGCACGGAGTGGAAAATGTCATCTCTTTGGTATAATTTAGGCCTGGTGCTCCCCAAGGACAGAGGATGGAGTGGAAACAACATCCAAAATCCCTCCCAGATCCAGTCTTCGGGATCGCCCTCCAGGACAAAACCTGAGACGCCCCAGGCAGGCGTGGAGGGGGCCGTGTGCCTCGGTCCCTCAGGAGGGCGCTCTGCTCTCTCGGGCGGGCGTGGAGACCGTCACATTGCCGTTCGGCTGGCCTTTGACAGCCCTTGGTGATATCCACGAGATGCTACCGATGTTTATTTTTCTGGAACTCAGGTGAGCTGAGTCAACTCCTATCCGGACGTGATAGGTTTAAACCCTGGCCAGAAGGCCATCGCTGGCCTACAAGTCACAGTGTTATAGGTTTGGAAATAAGCCAAATGGCTATCCATTAATTCAAAATAATTAATAGCTGTATTCTCAACTCATTTGCAGGTAGCTTCTGGAGAAGCTATGCCTCCCCAGGAAAAGTCTGGAGTTCTGTGCTATTTGGTATAAAGTCTGGTTTCACTGTCTCGACCGAGGAACATTGTAATCTAAGGAGCTTTGAAAAGACCCCGAGCAATAGGAACTAGGTCCAGGGATGTGCCCGTCTACCTCCTAGTGTACGTGTCCTAAACACTGTGGGCACCAGCGGCACACGTGCACTCGTGCAAGCACACGCACACACTTCCCCCTCCCTTGTAAAAACCAGGTACAGCCAGGAATGGGACAAGTGCAAACACCGAGTCCATTTTCTAAGTCACCAGCAGCTGGTAGAGATGTCGGGTTTTTACTAATGTTTCATGTTCGCAGTGATGGATTTTCACCTTGAGAGCATGATGCATTTACAACTCTGCTGTGAAAATTTAATGCAGTGCCTTTCAAAATCTAGCCGAAAGCTAAAGTCTCACAAGTCGATTTGTGTCTGGTGGGCCAGCCGTGAAGATCGGCACAGAGCTGGCACAGGGGCGGCTGGGCCGGGGAGAAAATCCCACCCATGTGTGACCTCATAGTGCTTCGGGCGTGCCCTCTCCAACAGAGTGGCTCTGATAGTCCTCGAATGACTAGCCCTTTAGCATTAAAGAAAACCTTTGATATCTGATCTGATCCTTCCTGATTCAGTGACATCTTGGGACCATTAACATTCTCTTTATTCTCTGCCATTAGTGGGGGGAGGCAGGCCACAGGGAGGGTGCCACACAGCGGAGGGAGGGGTGGGGGTTGGGGGAGGCCGTTTTCTGCATCCTGTTTGGCTGGCTCCGCTTAGCCCGGGCCTGTGCTGCTCTCACAGGTCTCCCTGGGATTGGGTGGCCTGGCTGGCGTCCTGCCCTCCCACGGCAGCCGGTGTCTGGGCCTGTGGGTTTTCCTTTCTGGGGATCTGGGAGCGTTGTCTCTCCTTGGAGTGTCAAGCTAGCCAGCTGCCCTGGCGGACGGATTCAGCTTTATAAAACATGTAACGGAGGCACCAGCTGGACGGTCACACTAGAATTAAGTGGCTCTGGCTCTGGCTTCCTGCGCACTCAAAGGTCTCCACAGAGACGCGGGGTCAGCCGGGGCTCTGAGCCAGGTCCCCAGCAGCTGTCCTCCCCTCCCGGGTCGGGAAGAGCTCGTTCCCACTGAATGCAAGGGGACTGGCGGGGCAGGGTCAGGCAGTGCGGCCTGCAGAGCTCTGTGCCGACAGTGCCGGGGTAATGACACGAGAGGGCACCTTGGCCCGACTGGCGCCTTGGGCCTCTGCTGGTGTCCTGCCTGCCCCCACATGCTGCGTCGTGAAGGGGAAGCCCGTGGGCTGCACAGGCAGCTCCAGACTCACGGGCAGACCCAGCGGGCAGGGGAGGAGGGCGTGATGTGCTCAGACCGAGAGGAGGGGAGAGGAGAAGTGTCCTCAGACCCGGGAGTTCTCTAGGGCCTCACCGGGTGACGCCATTGCTATGGGGTCGAGGGGACAGAGCAAAGCCAGGTGTGAGGTGTCCTCCCTGCTGGGGGGCAATGCAGAAAGACAGACATCACGATGCTGCAGGCTGTGCTGTGCTTACCGGGATCCCTAGGGCTTTAAGAATGTTCATCTTGCACATGGGACAGGTGCGGTGGTCTAGGAGCCAGGGGTCAACACAGGACTTGTGGAAAAGATGCCTGCAATGAGAACCACACATCTTAGAGCGGCGGCAACTGCAAAGACTCCCTAGTCCACTACCGCCCAGACACTTGTCCAAGGTCACGCGGCCGCTCAGGGGGCAGAGCCGAGACTTGAACCTCCGTCTCCTGACACCTGGGCCAACGTGCTTCCTGTTATCCCCTGTGGTGGTGCCGTCGAAACTTGTCTGGACCCCGGGAGGGGCCTTACGCAAGTCCAAGTTTCAGAAAATGCAGAGGATGTAGAAACAGAGAGCTTTTCCCTTTCTCGGTAGGAAGAATGTTTACTGGAAAGGATACAAGGAGGGCAAGTTGCACAGGCCTTTCAGGATCCCTTAATGGATGTCCCGTTTGCAAAATGCCAGCATTTCTTTTCTCACAGTTCAAGGACAGCTGTGAAAGGAAAGGCTCATCTCCATCACTATCTGGGGTCTAACGGAAAGGGCAGGAGGGTTCCTGGAAGCACCGAACGACGCAGATGACTTTTTGTGTTCTGACGGCTGCCGGCTGTCAAACCAGAAGCCAGAGTGAAAGGTGCCATAACCTTCACTGTCTGTACAGCTGATCTGCTCGACTCCAACGCCGCCCCCCACAGCCCCCGGGCCGGTCCTGGAGCTTTCATCTGAGTGGCAGGGTGAGGGGGCGTTTGATAGGCGTGGGAGGGCTCCTAGCGGAGCTTCCTCCCACTCGGCTCTCAGGAGCCCACTCAGACGTACGTGCCAGAGACTGCTGGAGTCAGCAGCTCTCGTCTTCCCACCCACAAGACCCCAGATCAGGGGCAGGAGCAGTCAGAAATTCCCGCCTGGGGCCCAAAGAGAGACGGTGGTCTGCCTTAAGGGTGAGGGCTTCGTTAGGACAGTCCCTCCCTGCCTGGCCCTCTCTCCTCGCTGGTGCCCGGGACCCAGGGTACGTGTGCTCTCCCCTCTCACCCCCTCTTCTCTCGCGCTCACAGTTCTCACACTGTTCTCTGTGTGAGAGCACATTTCCCAAGTGCTTGAAGAAGACCCTCCAAATCAGCGACGCGTGCAGGAAGGGGCTGCCTTTTAAATTGGACCTGGGAAGTACCCACGTGCCAAGGATGGGATTAGCCGTGTAGAGGGGATGATCGGACTGGCAATGAGGAAAAGCGGGAGCGGCAGTCTGGCTGTGTCATTGTGTCCGCAGATTATTGTCTGGGATGCCCTGCAGCCTGGAAGGTACGCATCACACGCAATTATTCCCTCACCCGTGCTTTGTCCAACAGGGACCGTCTGCCAAGAGTTGCGCTCATCACTGGGAGTCGCCAGGATGGAGATTTGGCTCCTTCCCTTAGTGAGCATGACAGGAGAGGCAGGCGTTAATAAAATGATAATATGTATAAGCTGCTTAATGACAATGGTGCCGAGGACCACACTGGAAGGGCAGGGAGCTGGGAGGATTAGGAGAAGGAGAGTTTCCCCATGAGGTGCCGAAGCTAAGACCTGAGGGCTGCCCACACATTGTCCACGCGAAGGGGACGGGAGAGGAAGGAGGGGGTCCTAGGCAGACCCCCAACCAGACAAAAGCCCTGAGCCGGGCACCAGGAGAAGGCGTCACAGCGCGGTGAGGGTGGGGCTGAGACTGCTTAGGGATGGAGTATGCGCCTCCAGCACCACCGCCCCCAGCAATCCCTCCCTCCCTAGGTGCGGGCTCCACACTCCGGAAACAAGTTCCCAACCTGAGCTTGCCCACCACCTGGTGATCCTCCTGGGAACAGAGTCCCACACTCCTGTCCCTTTGACCGTGCCGGGCGGCGGGCCCTGCTGCGTCCCCTGAACGTGTTGTGCTGGAGTCAGGAGAGGGCAGGGCTCACCATCAGCTGCTGGAGCTTCAAGAAGCCCCTCGGTGTCTGCAGGCTCATTTGCCTCACCTGTACGATGCACAGCTATCTACTTGTGGGGAGAAGGCTCCCCGAGCGTCCAGTCCACAGAAGTCAGTCTTCATTCTCTAACGCCCTGAGGGATTTCTCTCCACGCACGGGTCTTTCTTACCTCCTCTGTGGTGGCTCCTGTTAGTTTTATGTGTCAGCTGGGCCCGGGCCCTTCAGCCCAACACTAATCTAGTGTATTCTGTAGATGGGATTGACTTTAAATAAAGAAGGTTTGCCCCAAATAATCTAGGTGGGCCTAGTCTAATCAGTTCAAAGGTTTTAAGAGCAAAAGCTTTTTAAGAGAAGACAGCCTGCCCCAAGGAGGCGGCATGAGCTCCTGCTCAGAGTTCCCGGCTGCAGGCCCGCCCCGCAGACTGCGGACTTGCCGGCCCCTACGACGGCGTACGCCAGCTCCTGGGACTCGGTGTTAACACGCAGTGGTTCCCTGGAGAACCCTGACCGTCCTCCGACGGGAATATAAGCTCAGCGAGAACACAACCCCAGTTTGCCTGATGCACTGTCGTACCCCAGCATCTAGAATAGTTCTTGGCACACAGAGGACGCTCAAGAAACATCTGGCCTGTGGACGGATATTCACCGAAGGCCCCGGCTCTCCTCGCTGCCTGCACCCGGTCCTCGAGGCCCACGGACTCCCTCTTCCCCCGCGTCTCCCACATGCACCGCTTTCCCTTCCCCGGGGCTGCTCCCTCATTCATAATCTCAGTGTCTTTTTCTTGGTGCCATGCCAGTGACATCCACGCTGGTCTCCATGCCAGCAGCCTTTCCCTCTTCTCGTCATCCCACTCTCCCTTGCCAGAGTTATCTTCTTAAAATAAAGCACGAGTTACATCACCCCCTGTTCCATTCTGCTCTGTGCTAGGAGCCGGGTGCAAAGATGAATAAGACAAGCCCCCCCCCTCCCCTGCCCCTTCGCGGGCAGGGCCACGGCCCTTCGGTGGCTCCCTGGAGACGAAAAGGGAAAGGCCGTGGAAAGGCCACACTCCCGGATCCACTTTCTAGTGTTGAAAGCAAGTCGCTGGAAATTTTAAAAAATCAAAGGGAGAACTAAGGACCAAAAAAAAAAAAAAAAGAAAGAAAGAAAGAAAAAAAAGAGCGCTGAGATGACACACAGGGTGATCACGTGGATTCCTAACGAACATTTCTAGCACCACATTTCTTGCACTAACCATCAAATACGGACTGTATCCTTATAATTGGATTGCAGAACAATGTTTTCCTGCCCAAATAGAAAGAAAAATGAAAGTCACTGGACTAAATAAATAAAGGAATAAGGGAAGAATCTGGAATTTAGGGAAAGGCACGCACAGTTCAGTAAACATCTCTCAGGCAAAGGCCGTCTCAACTCTTCCTGTCTGCGGGGTTCTCAGTGGAGCACTGCCCCTCCCTGTGTTCTAACAAAGGCCGGGCGGCCACGGAGTACAGCCAGAGGAACAAAAGGGGAAGATGCTCTATCTCTTAACAATCCTGACGAGCTGGAACTACAGCAGGGGGTTCACCAAACTCATTCCTTATTCACCAAAGGGCAGCAGACATTTAGAAAGCGTGTCGACAGCTGCATAATAATGCCAAGAGGATTATGAATGATAAAATAAGCCCTCATGTTTTTTTAGCAGCGCTGAAAACCCAGCTCCGCCCAGTTCCCCATCATCTACCTGTTCCCGCTTTCTGTTGTCCTTTCACCCGGATGTGTGGACCCCACCCCGTTTCAATGATGCATGTTTTCCTCACTTGCAGGAGCAAGGGCTATTTTGACCTGTGCATTTCTTTCCCTGTCGCAGGCCATCCGGCCTTGCCACCTGCCATTGAGATCAGGGTCCCCTGGCTTTCCTCTTGGCACCAACGCAAGCTGTTCCATTCCCCTCGGTGACACGGTCGCCTGAGGATGTGAGTTGTGGGGACTTACGCCCTCCCTTCTCCCAGGCACCACGAGCTACGTGAACAGCGCCCCCAGTGCGTCCATGGGGAGTCAAAATGTTCCTTCAGAGCCTCAGAATCTTAGCTGCGCAGTTGTCAATGAAATAAGACTGAGTTTTGAATATTAATTTAATTTAATAAATAAACAATAGCTACCGGTTACCAAATGCCTACTACGTTCCAGACATGTAACAGACAGTACTAATTCACAGCGGCCCTCTGAGGTAACAATTATTCTTCCCAATGTTACGGAGTGGGAAGCGGACGCCCAGTGAAGTGAATTAAGTGGCCCCGGGAGCTCGTGAGCTGCAGAGCGAGGACCCAGACCCGGCCTTCGCCGGGACTGCCCTGCCCTCACGGTTTCGCCCAGCTCCACACTCCGCTGCCCGCCTCCCCCAGTGAACTGTCGCGGGCGGGTGTGCGGGAGTTGGAGGAATTCAAATGTGTATTCTTCCTAAATGTACTTCTGTGTTTCAGCTTGGAGGAGGCGGTCTCTTAGTTACAGAGGCTGAGGATCTGGCGAAACCAGAGGGACAAGTGGTCGGCCTCGTCAGGCCTCTCCTCGGATCGCCGCCGTCTGCCTGCCTGACTGATGGGGAGCAGGGGGGACCCCCGGGCTCTGTGCTCCCCATTCTCCACGCCCCGTGGGCCTGGGAAACGAGGAATGGGCAGCCCCAGCACCTCTCCCCTGAATTTTCAAATGTGGATCATGAAGTGCCCCGGAAAGCAATACCTACTTTTTTTTGCTGGTGCTCTCCTTGACCTGGCCTGGCTCCTCTGTCTTGCCTTAGCTCTCTAAACCACAAGTACCGTACCACTCCGCAGACGCAAGATGCTTCGGCTGCCCCCACTGGCTAGAGCGCACAGTCAGCCTAACACAGCCCTCAAAGACGCACCCCCAGTCCGACCTTGTCATATCCGCTAGCCCCCTGTTCACCCCACGCTCGCATCAGAACGCCGGAATGCCCTCCTCATATTTTTGTTTGTTTTTTGGGGGGGCGGCAAAACCTTGCTCATATGTCCAGTCACAACTCAGACATCCCTTCTCTCCCCTGATGATCCCACTTCTTCTCCCCAAACTACCAAGCAGAATCCATTTCTTTTCCTTTCCTCCCGATCATTCCTCCACCTTTGTCATGGCAGCTGAGCGTGTGCTCTGGTTTTAAGGGTCTGAAGA